AACACATACTGAGTGACGCCCGGTTAAATAGAAAAGGAGAGTAGGTGTCGTTTTCGGGGTTGAAAGTACCAGCCAGGACAAAAAACACACAGGATGAAAGCACAGATATGTAGTACTTGATTCATACTGTTGGATACATTAAAACAATGAGAAAAAAAGTGAACTTTTTTTTATGTGGCGGTATGCAATGAATGATAATCAAAGTAATTTTAAGAATCCCTATTTATCTCTGATCAAAATTACAACTTATGGAAAGGTTTAAATTCCATATAGTGCAACAATACAACTTTCAATGTTTACCTGACACTAAAAAGAAAAAAAAGAAACATTAGGTTGACCAAAATGTGACTTTAAATCCATGGAAGAATGTTTCCAATTGAACTTGCAGACAAAAATTAGCTTTTCAAACACAAGCTAACACATCTAGATGATGCTACTGGTGATCAAATGACCTATGATTCCATATGCTCATAACTCAACCCAAATGAGTGAAAACACACTGTACATTCTCCTAAATGTAATCCTTTGATTCTCTCTGGGAAAGCAGTAAATTGTAAGTGTCTATCAACACAGAAAAACAGCTAAATTTCCAGTTAGGTCAATTGTTGGTATTGTTCAGAATCTAATTTAAGATTGCTGGTATGACCACGTCAAAGTGGCACCAGATTAAAAAAAGAATGAAATACGATAAATAGAATGCCCGTGTTGCAAACAGAAACATAAGGTTTACGTTTGATAATTGTCATTTTACTCCATCTATAGCTTAAACTCATACATACACACATGTATAGCATCGTATCCTCATCACTAATCATGTCACTAATTAGCTAACCAAACAACAACAGCACAGTTCAACTTGACAGCTCTTTAATGAGGGAGATACTAATCACTTTGACCCTCAGTCTGCCAACATGTCCAACGCTGAAATATAATTTGGAAAAATCTATGTAATAATGCATTTGAAGCATGAAACTTATGTCTCTATTCACTTGGCATATTCATTCAATGGGCCTCCTTTTTCCACTTTTTATCTACTTTAGTGTATATTTTATATCGTTAAGCTGAAACGCATTGGTTTGTTTATTTTTGAAAATTGTCCTTTCCTGTACCATTTAATTATTGTACTTTTGGATTAATATATCAGTGAAAATATTATTTATTCACAATGTAGACATATCATAGAGGGTGGCCATAGTGTAGGTGTATCAGCAGTGTACAGCTTGCAAATATAAGAGCTCGAACTAAATCAGCTACCTTAGTGGTGGTTTGGATGGTGCTTATTATATGACAAAATATGTGAATTTTCATAGGAAAGGTATCCATCCGTTAGTCAATAGATGCACATGAAGAAATGGAGACAAAATGATGCTGTATACAGAAATACAGAATGAATTGGTCACTGTGAAAATACAGGTGCACTGTTCCGTTCGCACAAAAACATGCATAATGTCATCTTAAAGTGAGAAACAAGCATGTTTGATCATGTAAAACTACAAAACCATGTCGTATAGAATCACGTCCACTTGCCCTGATGTCTCCTGCTCCATTCTCATGATTGCTATTCTTCTGCTAGCACTGGAAGGAAGTGTTTCCCCTGTCTAATCATATTTCTCGTTTCCCCCTCATTCATTGCTTCCCTTTTCTTCCCTCTTAGCCTCTTGTCCCTCTCTATCTCTCTCTCATCCTCTCTCCGTGTCCCTCCATCTCCTCAGCAGTTTATCATAATCACATCACCTCAGCGTAATGGAGCACACTTAAGGCTTATTATGTGTCACACACAGAAATACGCAGACGCACACACTCACATGCACGAATGAGATCCACTTAAGCCTTATTACATGTCTGACTGTGCCTCTAACATGGGAGATTATCCAGCGGAGTGTGTGCTCGGGCAGAGGGCAAGGATTGCAGGTAAGACACATAAACAGACCCAAACACACATCTTAACTTAGCCAGCGTCAAACAAAACAAAAAATCAAAACATTTTAAAGGTTTTTATGCTGGCATTTCTGTACAGGTATGCAGTTGTTCTAGCAGAGTGAATAAACAAGCATGCAAGTGGCGTAAGATGAATAAAAGGTGCACTTACGGCAACAAATTAGGACAGCTCCCCATCCTTTAAATGCACACGTTTGTGTGTGTGAGCGGACATGTATGTGTGAGATTACGCTTAACATAGAGACTTTCTATGTATATCTGACAAAGTGCAGCTCCACATTAATGTATATGGAGGACATGGTAGTGAGAAGGGTGTGAGCGGGATTCATCAGTTTTTTTCCCTTCAGTCTTATTGAAAAGAAAAAAGATGTAGACAACTTTTTTACGTATTTAACAAATACATCATCCCAAAAAATATTATTTTTTTTACGGACATGGTATGAGTTGCATTTGTCGAAGCTGCCCGAACCCTCAGAAATAACAAATGACATCATGTAAAAAATATTAGGGGGGGAAATGAAGGAGCTCACTGTGTTCCATGCCTGAATATGAGTCTAAAAAAGTACAAAGAATAAAGCCCATCTACTCGTATTATTCTCATCAGATCTGCCCTCGTAGGAGTAAATTATTACAGTGATGCTATCTCCAGCCGCTGTGTTGCGCTGGGATGTTCACCGGATAGAATGATGAATTTGCACATCTGTCAGTGTTTTGCCTGAAATCCCTGATGTCAGTGAAATGATGAAGAATGATAGAACGGGATATGCAACTTTACTCTCCAGCTCTGATTGTTAAGTTATTGTCACTCAAATACAAAGAGCTTCTGAGGACAGGATCTATGCAGACCTTCTTCCACCATCAAAAATAGTGTCTTAAAGAACAACAGAAACTCATCAGGGGACTACCCCTCCAGTTTATGTTTTTTTCCACAATCTAAAAAATGTCCAAGTCACGAATATTCATGAAGTTGTTATTTGCACTGCTGACTCCTCAAAGAGGCTGAGCACACAGAGGTGACAGCCATCAAACTCAGGGGTCGATAGAGTAGAGAGATGAGAGTGAGGAAGGGGAGGAGGAGAATAAATGGAGATGATGTAGAAAAGAGTTTGAAAAAAAAACAAAATAAAAAGATCAATATGACAAACAGAGACCAGATTGCACAACGAAAGTGAAACATAGACATCCTTCGATAGCATTTGTGTTCCTACCTCAACGTGAACTGTTCCATGTTCGAGTCTGACTTCATGTAGATGCCAAACGCCACTGTCTTGCCAAGCCGGACTGGACTGGGTGGGACCAGAACCTCCAAATTCCCATCCAACTGCAATCTTTCGCCTTTCGCGGACACGGGGCCCACGCTCATCTCGACAGAGCCGGCTTTCAGCATATCTTGAAGACCTCCATCTTCTAAAGAGCTCCACTGTCCCGAAAGGCCTAGGCCGAGGCCTCCCAGAGGACCCACATTTGCACTCGACGCTCTCCACGGCTCATTTACAATCGAGGGGCACTCTCGACCAGCCCCTTCCACCGGTAGGATCGAGTAATACACATCCACTGGCGGTAGTGTCACTTCGGGAAGTCTTTTTCTCGCTTGCGCCGGTGTGAACCAAGCCGGGGGAATCTCCAGACGGACCACGCAGATGCCAGATGGTCCCATGAGGCGGCAGCCCGCCGAGGGCGCTGCCTCGTTGGTGTCGCGGACGGCCACGGCTCTGACACAGGGTAGGAGGGACGGAGGAGGAGAGTCCGGTTCATCCCAGCGCCGCCCTATCAGGTAAAACAGCACCTGAAGAGACATCGATAAAACAAGGTCATAGCTGGTAGAATAAAGAACACATTAAGCTGTTCATGTTACAGTAGAAAATGTAGATACAATATGAAGTAATAACGTTTTAAAATAAAATAACTCAGGGATTCCCAGCTCTGCAACATGTAGTCAATGTCTCTGGAGCACAAAAAAAGGATGGAAGTAGAGGAAATAATATATCTCTCATAAGGGATAAAAGCCACGAGAAATTAGGTCCACACATTTCATGAGAAAAAACATGGTACTAAGAGATATTTTATGCAGAGAAAATATATCTAATTGGAAGTTGTTTTTTGTTGAAGGGCTTTTTAAATACCTTGTTTAATATCAGGAGATACTTCATGGTTGTGAGGCATATCACAAAACAGTGAGTCTTTTTCATTCATTAAAACTAAATACTAACAACTTCAAGAAATAAATCAGAAACAAGTCTCCTCTGTCAAATCAATGGTAAGTCTGTTTTGTTCTTTAACAAATTAATCCAGCTAAAGTTTTTTTTCATAAAGGCCAAGAAGCTCTAAATGTTTCAATTTTTTTTTCTTTAATATAGAATAAATATACTATTGATTAGATAAACAGATGCTCATGACTCACTAATTGGTTAGTTTGTCAAGACTACAAGAGATATGTGTGAGATGTGTTTCATGTGTTCATAAGTCAATGCACATTCCAAAGTTAAGCATCAGTTGCTCATACCTGTATCCACGGTCTCGTCGACCCCACTTTGGGAACCACCACTTGACCTTTAACCCTCCAGTTGAGCGTCACCTGGTTGGTGGAGAGCAGCAGGTGTGGCGGGGGACCTTGGAGGAGCTCCACGGGAATGGGCTGCTCGACGCTCAGATTGCCGTAGCTGCAATTGACACTCGGCAGGGGCTGCGGCGCGGCCACGCCCGGCTCTAGCTGCTGGAGGAAGAACGGCTCGGTCCGCGTCGAGAGGCTGCCGTTGCGCATGACCTCCTGATTGGCCTCCCGCAGGAAGAACGCGGAATCGGCCCCACTCAGCTGGCACTGGACGGGGAGGTAAGTGGGGAGGGAAGAGGAGAAACGGGGCTGGTACGTGTCCGGACCGCCACCCACTCCACCTCCTCCTGCTCCGATCGGGCTGTTGGACACTTGATGTGAATGAATGAAAAAAGAAGAGGTATAGGAAATAAAAAGTTGTTGGAGAAATAGAGACAGAAGTGGGTAGGGGGAGAGAGAAGAGAAAAAAAGATTAATTCCACTCTGATTATATGAAAATACAATGCTTGTCTAAAACTATAGCAATGCTATCACTGCCATTTAATTTGACTGTCGCAAACGATTAATCAAAGTAAAATGAACACCACCAAAACTCAAGCTCACTGACCTGTGAAATACATCGTTATTGTACTCAAACATTGATGTAAATACATGCAACCACCAATCAGCTTTTCTACATAAATTGACACATGCATTGCCACCCACAGACACAAACCATATTACATGGTGTTTCTTGGCACCCTCTCTATTTATACAGAAGTGAGAAGAAAAAAAAAACATTAGTTCAAGTGATTGACTTGGCACCACAGCTTACATTAATGCATCTGTGTATTTCTTTTTTTTTTCTTTTTCAAAGAAACATTACAACAGCATCAATCAAAAATGAGATACTGCTCATTGGCAGTTTATTTTCATGTATTTACACTCAATCTTCACCCATGTCCAAATGTATTTACCAGACTTTCCATACACACTGGGAATTTGGAAGCATGGATTACTGGGGTTTTGAGGCGATATCTCATTTTCTAAGAGGGACATGGGGTTCCAATGTTGTGTTGGAGGGAGTTAGAATAACTAATCTCCATCCTCCATCTGCTTGTCGGCATTGTGCTGTGCAAGGCACGAAACCACAGAACTCAGTTCAAAGATCAGTTATTCGAACCTCTTTGAATGTTGGCCGAATTCCAACATGAGCTACAATTAATCGCATTATGCTTTAGTAGAATTCACAAAAGTCTGGACCCTTTAATGCCAGTGATTCAAGTGTAAGCGCTTATGGCTCTGAAAGTTCAGTCTGATGACTTTTCCATGTTATCCAGCGTACAAGCATGGTTAATGTTTGCAAAGTTTAGTTTATTTCACATTTGATGGGAAAATCTATTCATGAAAATGTAAAGCTCCTCAACACTTAACATTTATTTTCAGGAAGTTGTACACTTGATAAGATGTTTAAACTTAAGGCTCATTCTTAAGAGGTATGGGAAATTACGCAGGTTACTCAAGGAATTGAAGTCAGAATTATATTGTTTTTCTTTTGTTTTTTGTATTACTACATTTACAATAAGAAATTGAGTATTAATAGAATACAGTATCCATAAGACAAATATGGCTTTTTGTTAAATAGTTTGCGAGCATAAAATATATTTTGAATAAACGTTGCTTTTATTAAAAAGCGTGCCATAGTTTTGCTGCAGTGGCTTTAGCATCAGTGCTTACATACAAATAGAGCATTAGTGGAGAGAAACATTTTTCGGATACATTACTGAGTGTGTGGCAGGGATGTAGGCTCTGAATTGATTTTACCCTCTAAATCATATCAGATCACACAATGCTGACAGTGAACACCGTGTTAAACGAGATTTTGACAAGTCGCACTGCCTACAATGACAGGAGTGACCGCTCCGCTTTTGTGATGTATGCACACTTGGCTGTTGGAATCTGTTTTTGAAAATGTTTATATACAGTGGATTTGGGACAAAAATACTCTGACCATGGTAGTGATTGCTTGGTTTATTCGGGTCATGTTTTTCTGTTCTATGACCAGCCGGATCCGGATAAACAAAAAAGGACTATTCCACACCTCATTATAGTGCATGGTACATTTGATATTTCATAGTTTTGTGTGTCATTGCCCTGCTGCTAAATCAGTAAAGTCTCTGATAAATTGAGCAGGTAGGTACTCTATTATCAGTTAAGAGGTCAGGTTAATAAATAAAGGGGTGTATGAAATGTTCATCTTTATCAGATATCTAACCCGAAGTATGAAAAAATAAAATAAAAATGAAAAATAAAATTCTTAAACTAATTGGCTATTAACAAAGTTTTCACAGTGTGCCTTGTGCTGAAAACTGTAGGGAAACTGCACCACATAAGGATGTATACAGATATTAACATACTGTAACCTATTTACATAAAATGAATAGTTTCCACTACCACTTACAGCCGTAAAGGTATCGTTAGACCTAAAATATTACATCTCCCTGAACAATGAGTAGACCAAAGGGATTGGTACTGAAATCATACTGAAACAAAGAAAATGCATGCATAGAGCAGTAAGCTTGTGCGGAAAAGTATGTTTGTGTGTATCTTTGTTTCCTAGGGAAGCGGAGTGTGAAAATATAATGAGGGTGGGACAGCCTAGCGCTGTCTGGGGCAAGTCATACCGAGGCGACTACACAAAATAAAAAAAAATGAGAGCAGAGAAATAAAGTGATACCTCAGTGTAAAATGAATAAGCAGGCTGGTTTGGTCATGGTGCGTAGGCACATAGGGATATGCTTAAAAAGAGAAAGCCAGGCAAAGGGAACAGAAGACTGCAAAAGATAAACAGAATGAAGAAGGAAGTGTGAGGAGGAGGAATAGGAAGACAACAAAAAGGGATAGTGATAGTAAGATAAAGTATTCGCAAATGTGTGCCCAAAGACGGCAGTTGGACCTAATAGAGCTGGTCGTGTTGCTGTTTTACATAGATACATCACAACAAACTCACAACAACTGGTATCCAGTCAGATCATGTCAATATTTGGATGTTGTGTACTGTAATTGGAAACTAGATTAAATTATTGTATAAATGATGTATTATGTTTTACTTAAAACAAGAGAAAATCCTCAAGATTTGCCTATCAAACTTTTAGAACTTATATTGTTATATTGTATTACTGCAGGACCACAGCCTGTTGATCAGAGAAAATGTTTGGATGCCTATACCCATGTGCTTTTTATCGGCAAATAATCATAAATTGTCGGTGATGTGGCAAAAACACATCAGCACATTCACTGTTCTCTTCCTTTTTTTTCTTTTTTATCATTGTGGGTGTCCTTGAAGCGCTTGCACGTGTGTATGTGTGTCCACAGGAGTCTTGTGAAGCATATGTCCTGATCCCGGACAGGGACCTTGAGCAGCTGACACACACACACACACACACTCACACACACGCACACACATGCACACACTGAGCAGTCTCATGCAGGCAAAAGTTGATGTAGTTTATGCCATGAAGCGTCATGAAAAAATAAAAAAGTCAAATTTGAATTTATTGGTCATAATAATGATAGTCATTTTTATTTATAACTTTTATCAGTACTCAATTTCTGTCACAGCTGCAGCAACTTCTGGGCGACAAAGCATTTAACCTAAATAATAAAGCCCATAGATGCTTCGCAAAATACAAATTTACACTGGATCGGTCTGCCTAACCGATCCTGGCTCCATAGGAGGCGCTCTACAACAAGTAAGACTGGCCCTCTGTCATCCATACACTGGTATGCCTTTGGCTACCATTAAACCTGGCATGATCTACATTCTTTGGCATCATCGTTTTGGCAACCAAAAAACACAACAGGAGTCCAAACCCACTGTGTCCTGCTGCACAGAGCTTCTGTGTGTCTGTGTGTGGCTGTCTGAAGACTCTGGTGCACATGAATGGACATGGATGAACAAGTATGTGTGTGCCAACACGCTCAAAAGTGAAATCATACATGGCGTTTATTTACCGGATCGTGAATTAGAAAAAATATGCGCGACAGACACGTGTTGAGAGTGTCTTTTGGGGTGTGTGTGGAAATTTGGACAGGAACCCAGCCAGATGTACAGAGATTTGACAAGGCCCATCTGTGATCTTTCTTCCCCCCCCAAAAAATGTCCATCCTGCTCCGTTTCCAAGCACAGAAAACACACACACTTACAGCCAGTAATCAAAACACAGTGGAGCGTGTAGGGCAGGAAGAAAGACAGCAAGAGCAAAGCCAGATGGGTATGACAGAGAAGGAGATGTGATAATGGTATCAGTGTTGCTTGATGTCGTGTTGGTAAATATTGATTCACATTTTTAGATTTAATTAGACACATTGACGGACCCACACAATTTTTCATATCATCCTTTTGTGTCTGTCTGTGTATATTGGTTAATATGTTTGGTCAAATTTAGTTCAAGATGAAGCTCACGGTAGATCATTCCACAAATAAATGCACAAACATGAGCTTGAATATTAACATTCTCACATGCAAAATCAATATTTCTTTCAGTTTCATTTATTTATTTATTCTTTTTAATCCCCAAAATACATTTTCCCTTCAGTGTCATGCCCTCGGGTAGAATGTGATGTAATGCCTTAGAATCTTAACCAGAAGTTACTCGGGAATTTCACAAAAGTGTGACAAACATAAATCAAAAATCAACCTTTCCTGTTCAAATCTGTAGTGCTTTTCTACAGGTTGATGCAGACTGCTCAGGTTTGAAGCATTTGATAAAAAGCATCAAAACGTCAATTTGCGCTTTGCCCCATTCATCGCAGACACAGCCCTGGTAAGAAAATTTATCATAGGAGAATTTTCCAAGAAGAGTGAACCTCCATTGATCATACAGATGGCGTGCTATCTGAGGGAGAGACGGGAAGAGATGGGGGAGAGAGGGACAGTTGCAGAGATGGAGATGGTGTGACTTATGGAAAAAGGAAAGGGAGAAAGTGGTGATGAGACATAAAAGGGTGAGGGAGGATGAAGAGGATGAAAGAAGGATGAGGTTTCTATTTCGGAGCGGAGCATTTATCAAAAGCATGGAGTTTATTCTGGTGGTCTCCCTTTCTCTGGTTCTTTTGACACTTCTTTTGCCGTCAGTCTCAAAAACCGTCCAGCGAAAATCTTTCCTTGTGTTGAAGAAACAGCATTTTAAAAGTTAAAAGGCAGAATAGGGAAATGTGAACGAGTGGGTGTGATGGATCGTGTCCGAAGTCTACCGGCAAAGGTTTCAGCATACTGTATGTATGTATTTGTTTCGAATGAATATGACCTACACTTATCCTAGTAAATGTCTTCCCTGAGGAGTTCACTTCAATATTCCTGAGTCATCGTCACTCTTTCCTCGGAGATTAGAACTTGTCCCATCATCAAAAAGTTTCTCCCTGTCGGCACTATCCTCGTAACATTCCCAGACTCTGTCCAACCGATCTCCTTCAGAGGAAAAAAGAAAACTGTGAAATGAATCCTGCAGTGAGAGAGTGGTAAGTCGGGGATAAACGGTTGGGATGAGGACTTTTGCGGGGCGTGGATGTGAATTCTGCAGCTGGGATTCCTGTAGGTGTGTGGCTGGATGAGCCTGCAAGGGTCAGTGCATTTTGTCATGTCGTACGTGTGCCGTTTGTGGCAGCAGAAGCAAGGAAGTGTGAAGAGCAATTTCAAATGGTCACCCTACAACTGAGAGAGACAGAGGCAAATAAAGGGAGGACCTCTCACTGGAGAAGTCGAGCAGCACCGACAGAAATGAAGGAGCACTGTGCAGGAAATGTTAAACTCTGAGCTGTATACAAAGACACACACGGTATGCAGCGAGCCAAAACTATTTAGAGTGTACAGTGTGCACGCTCCTTTTTGTTTTCTATAGTTGTGATCTATTTTAAATGATGAACTACAAGAACAGGAAACAAATTCAGTAGGAACAAAAAAAAATTGGTTAAAATATTATTATTATTTTCCTTTTTTTTCGTTTTTTTTTTTCTTTTTTTTTTCTTCCTTTTTTTCGTTTTTTTCCTTTTTTTTTTCTTTTTTTTTTTCTTGTTTTCCTTTTTTTTCCTTTTTTTTCAAAAAATAATATTGACATGGAGGGCTATTCTAAGCAAACATATCCTACAGGGATGTTTGTTTATACGCTAAAACAATTTATTAACATACAATATTCTAAAAGTTATTAAAAGTCTTTTGCATGCAAATTTCATACCCAAACACAGTCGTAAATAGAGTTATGAATAAGGAGAGATCTAAAGGGGAACCTCTGTGTGTGTGTCAGGCCCCGATCTCCTGGCTGTGAATATGAGACTTGGATAAGTCCGCTGGGCATTGGAACCATTCAATACCATCCTTCAGTGATCCACAGCCAGTCAACCAACTTGTAAAAGCTGCTTATAAAGGGGGCTAAAGGACTCGCAGCCTCAACTGACTTAATGGAGCCGCAGCAGTAAAGTAGCAATAAGGTGACAAGAGGAGAAAAGAAAAGATACTGTAAAAGGAGAAAATTATGATGGGAGAAAGTGAGTGCCATTAGAGGAGGGAGGGGGGGAGGGCTCATCAATGAGGGAAAAGAAAAAGGAATGGGGAGGGAGAGATATGAGAAAGTGCAAGATGGGAAAACTTGAGGACAAACGTGACAGAGACAATAAGAGAACGTGGGGGTCGAGGACAAGGTAGGAAAAGCAAAATACGTGTTGAGAGCCAATGAGAGAAGAGGACATGACCAGAGTTAATGAAGATAAATGCTGAGAACAGCTGTGGAATAAAATGCAGAGTACGGGATGAGACAGAAAACAACTGCAGACAAGAACAAAAAAAGACTGAAGGAGGTGAAAGACGTGAATGTGAGAAAGTTATACTGTTTGTCATCTCACAATTAATGATTACAATGTGATTATGTGGTTTTCCCTGCATGACTGAGCAGATATAGCAGTGCAAGAGTTTTCCAGAGCTCTGTCAGTCTGTATATGCAGTAACAGACCACCTAAACAAAAGGAATTATATGTAAGACAACAAAGTCCAGAAAGAGAAGGAAAAGGAGAGGAAGAAGCAATTTAAAGGAAACAAATAATCAAATTCACTAACAGGATTAATCAGCTTTGGTGCAAATGCCAATGAAATGTGTAGCAAGACAGAATACCAGACTAGTGATTCCTAAAGAGTGGAAGAAATGTCTTAATTTGATTATTTGCATGGAATTGGAAAACCTTGAACAATAAAGGCTATTAATGCTCATTAAATTCCATCAGAATGATGACGAAAATACCATGACAGGATAGATTTATCTAAAAGTGATGTTGATTACTAGTCAGACTGTAAAATTAAAGGGGGAGACACTATCTCTGTCATCCCATTTAACAAATGATAATAACAATGTGCATGTGATATCATATGTGTTAAATACTTGTCAGCTCATGTTGTTACATGATGTTATACAAAATGTGAATTTGTCAATTGCACTGAAAAGATTACAGGTTACTCAAAGGGCGTATTTCAGTTTTGTTACATCCTCTTGCAGAGTGCAATGAAGATCGACCATTTAAATGTACTCGTACTCGCAATGTCATCGATTTCCACTTGAACAAAATGCCAGCACTGCTTGGATTCGTCCAAACAGAGCTTTACTTAAAAAGGTTAAGTGTCACTTTAATGTTGTGTTAATATGGTCGATTCTATTTTGGGATGATAGATTTGTTTTCTTTTTTTGGTATGAAAAATATAACTGGATTTCCAATGGCTGAGTTTACGTTGTGACAAAATTTGCTCTATACAATACATTTTACGTATGTTCACACTGTCTAGTACAGGTATGCAGTGTAATGAGTTCTGCTCTCTTTGATTGGAGACAGCTCATCCTGTTTTAAATCACACTAAATCAATAGGAACAAAATGTGAATATACAAATTTGATGTCAATGTTGCAATAAAATCACCCCAAAAAAACTTGTATGAAAATACCTGTATTGACCAAAACCCTGCTATATTTGAATCCCATGGTATCCACATTTACAAGTTCAAATTTACCTGTGCCACAACCAGATGAAATTTAACTTCGTACCTCCATAGTGTACAGTATTTGGGGAAAAAACATCTTACCACAGCATGCCCTTGTAATCCCTCACTAATCTGTTTTCAACTCTAAGCTGGTTAGGCTGATCTGATTAATGTTCAACAGTTAATTACTGGAATCTTCTGCATGTAATCTAACTGGCTAATCAGAGGTAGATTAAAACACATTTGACAGTCACCTCTCTCCCCGTTTCTCCCCCAGTTCCCGGGTCTTTATCAGCTTCATCGGCATCATGCTTTATCTCACTTTATCTCCTCAGATTTACCGACATCTTTTCCCGGTGACTCTTTATCTGATTCCCTATGTCTATGAGCCTCTTTCTAACATCACTGTTGTCATCAGTGTCTC